AAACTCCTCAATTGTGGCTGGAAAGTCACGCTCGGTTGGTGGTCGCACGTAGTGTGAGTAGCGCCGCCCTGCCTCAGGATGAGCATACTTACCCTCGTCCTCGTACCAGCGCACAAGCCAGCCACGTTTGCCGGGGTTTGTTGCGAGGCCCTCTAGGCCCTTCCGATCCGGCAATTCTTGTTCCGGAAAGACGGGATACTCCTCCGGGTGTAGCTCCTGGTAGAGGCCGTCATGAGTCATCGTATACCCCCAGTAAAGGATCCACCGGCTTCTTCAATAAGCCGAATACTTTCCGCTGACGCATTTTGAAGCTCAATGTGAATGGGATACGGCACGCGGTTCACTCCACTACTAACAAGAACAAATCCTGGCCAAATAATTTCACCCTCAGCCACAACACCAGCTTCGCGCTGGTGATAAACCGTGATGACTTCATTGGGGTTCAGACGGCCCGTGCCAATGGCCCAAAGCAGCTTACTGAGCTTGAGGCGGGAAAACACCAGGTTTCCCTCATAACGGTTTCGTGGCCCACCCGGTGAAACTCGAGGTGCAAGCATAAACCGTGGCGTCATCTTTCGCTCCTGCCACTGGCCACGGGCAAACACGTTGCGTCTGTCGTTGTACCCGCGAGCATACTTCCAGCTCCCTCCTATTTTCATCCATCCCATCCTAATCATATTATGACCACTGCGCCTACCCACGTATTCCGGTGTTGGCGTCAAATCCTTTACAGACTGTGTGATCTGTGGATTGAGGTACTGATCCCAGTGAGACCACTTGTGCTGGATTGTCCTTTCATTCAGTCATGAGGCAACAACTGGAAGTGGATGGTCCTCATCAAATTCCTTCCTCCCGGCAAAGTCTTGCCAATTATTCCGTGACTTTCTAAGAGGTTGCCGCCGTTGATGAGCGGAAACATTGACTTTGCCGGATTCATATGAAACGGAAGAGTCTCCCGGCGGGGGTGAAAAAGACGATGGCGCTGCTGCAGCGCCGTTGGCGAAAACATTTTTCTTTCTCTCTTTATTAAATATATATATATATATATATATGGTGTCGTGAGACACGATGGTTCGCTATTACCCCTCCACAAGATCCAGTTACCACCCCTGCGTCCGTCGCGCTTTCTTACATTCGTGAGCAGCAAGGAAAAAGAAAGAAAGAAAGTGCAACGCATGATACAAGACGCAGTAAAGTGTGAAAGTCAAAGCAACCACACGGATGTGATATATATATAGCGATAAGAAGTACCCAGCTCATTTTGTTAAATACGGCGGAACTAACACGGCACGCATAGCGTCTCCCTGCACACGGTGAAAACATCACTTTTCACTTCTTCTAATGCACCTCACATTCATCCGTCCGTCTTTTTTTTGTTTTTCCTCCCATGGGACTCCTGGTTGTGTGGTTCTTATATATGTGCCCCTGTACATCTATTACGTGCTTCCCTTCTCACACGCACTCTATTCGTGGCTTACACCGCAACATATCGAGACTCCACTTGTTCAAAGATTTCCTGCGACACAACATCCACGGGGCGATCCCCGTCAATGCGAACAAAAACAGGCTCGTAGCACCCAATGAGTTCCTCCTTCCTCGCATCAAAATACTTCCACTGACTCGTCACCGCCGCGAGAGAGCCATCGTCTTCAAACATGCGCTCCACAGCCATCTCACGCGGAGGAGGGGCAAACTCCATGTGGTAAACGTTCTGTGTGAGGGGGTCATATCGACGTCCATCGCACCGTCGCACCGCCACCTCAGAAGAAACATCCAGCAGAATAAATAGAATTGGTGAAATTCCTGCGGCCTGCAAGCGCAGTGCCTCGGATCGCGTTCGTGGAAAACCGTTAAGCACCCATCCTCTACTACGACTATCCTCCTCCTGCAGACGACGTATAATAAGCTCGGATGCAATATCACTAGGCATCGGCAAGCCCTCCTGCATGCAGCTCGCTAGTTTTTCGCCCGATTCTGTTTTTCTCGATATTTCTTCACGAAAGACATCATCAGCGTTGATGATGACGACACCATACTTTTGGGCGATGCGTCGAGACTGCGTGCGCTTGCCACAGCTGGACGGTCCCAGCAACAGGAGACGCAGGGTTGTCTTTCTGTCAAGCGCGTGCAGCAGAAACTGCAAAGGATCATCAGGAAGGTGTAACACGACATCGTGAAACAGTTCCTCCAGCAGAGAATTAATATGCTTTTCCTCAAAGTAGGCGGCGGCTTCCGCCGAGAGCTCACCCGTTGACATGAGCACCCCGTGTTCTTCTGCTTGCTTCTTTCAGTTTGCGGCAACGGAGCCGAAAAAAAAAAGACTAGAGGGAATCGAGGCAAACCATCTAATGAGTTGCTAAGCAGCAGAGAGTGGAGGGGGGGGAGGGGCGTATGACCGGCGCGCCGTACACACCGCAGAAGAAGCTCGCGCGTGCTTCTTTTTTTTTTTTTTTTCGGTTTCGTATGTGTTTTACTTTAGCTCAAACTCAATGCTGCAACAACGCAATGCGGTGTCTGTCGCCACGAGTCGCACCTCAACCTCCGACGTTGCTTCCGGAGACGTGAACGCCACGAGCTGCTCCGCCCGCGCTGTGGCCGGCAAGAGAATAGTTGTCTGCTTCCAGTGCGTCGGCGGGCACCAAGGGGAGGTGTTTAGGGCCCACTCCCGAAAGCCCGCCTCAAACCACACTGTGAAGCCATCCACAACCACCCCCTGTGGGTGGGCCGTGCTAAAGTGCCGTTGAAACGCCGTGGAATTACAAAAGCTAAAATGAATGGGACGACACATAGATGCCACCGCCTCCTCTGGGACGGAGGTGGGATCCAGCTCCGCCAGAATCGCACCCTCGTGCCTCCCGCCTTGTAAATAAGTTATTCTGTGAGTGGGTTAGCCTTGTGCCGCTCCTTCGTAATGCATTTGTTTGTCTTTGGGACCCCGTGGAGGGGCGTGCGCCCAGAGGAGGCTGAAGGAAAGGCGGGGTGATTTGTTTGTGTGCATAGATTTCCGCGTGTGTTTCTTGGTTTGTTTTCTGCGCAGGGGCGTCCGGTGGTTGCGGGCCGTGGCGACTGCCGCTTCGTGGGACCCAGCGGCCCCGGCCACCGTCAAACGCCTTCATGCGTGAACTGTTTGCC